TAGTGATGAAGCAATTGAAATTATACTTAGAATTAGGAAATACATATGGGATCGTGTAATTCCATTATGGACTACTTACGCAAACTATATGCTCATGTGTCTTTAGGATGATCGAACAAAGGAGAGGTATGACACGATAGAGACAACGCAAATGAGACAAAGCACATAAGAGAAAGCCAACACAAACGAGAGAGAATGTTTTTTGGAGACAGAGCACACAACGAGGCAGCATTAACAAGACAAACAATCATTTATTTGTTCAACAAATCATTACAATCAATGAATTCTCTCGATGGGGGTCGATTTTGTTACATGCCAAAAATCTGATCATTTGTAAAAAGCATCCAATACCACAAGCAGCCATCCCCCCCTCATTCCTCCCCATATCATCCCTCATTTTCCTGCACCCCACCCCCCCAAACCATATCACCTCTGTATTGCCTGATCCACCTTCTCCCCTTTTGATGCTCATATCTCAAAGCTTTTAAGCAGGACGAGGGCGGCTGAATGAAACTCATTGTGAAGGGAAAATCTCCACTCGAAGTACGATGAATAATTAAAACGTGGGGAAGATACTTTGAGGATACGCATTGATATGGAAATGTTAACTCCTGCAATTCTACCGTTCTTTTAGCTTCAGGAAGAATTCAGTTGGGAAAAAAACAGCTTGTGACGACCAAAGATATTCGACAAAATGCAAGGCATATCGATAGGAATTCTGTCAATGTCATTGGAAGACAATACCATTAAGTATACTGGCGCTGTAAATGAATCATTACGATCAGTATGTATGAAACAGAATATTTCCTATCGTCTCCACTATGACGTTTAACAATTAGTGTTATTGTAGAGCTTTGTGTCAAATAGGACTCATTACGAACATAGAGTGTACTTGCCTTTAAACATAGGGCAGTCAATCAACATTGTTTTAGGCAGGCACGACTGCTGATGAGAGAATGATTGTCAAAACCCTTCCAGACTTTTGCTTGTATCAAACCAATTTTATTGCAAAGATGCGCCACCAAACGGCCGTGAAGCCAATAGGACGTGCCAAAATACTATTATTTTGGATGTAGAGAGATGAATACGGGAAGGAGCTATTATTTCTGCGATTTATATTATCACAATCAGTTGTATGCTTAGAAATTGGCTGGAGACATTACAAGCGAATTTGTTTGTTAAAGCCCCATGTGATTTGGCTTAGATCATACACAATGCTTGCTGTTATTATTCCTATAATCACCAGGTAGAATGCTTTCAGTGGAGGACCTAACCCCTAGCACCAACAAATCATGGCGGCACTAAGTTTTGTAAAAATGTTCAGTGCATTTGTAATTATAATGAAGTATGTGCATGACACCCACACCAACCGTTCTCTCGTAAACAGCAAGGGTGAGAAACATGAGCCTTAGGCCGTATCCGGCCCCTAAATTCATGTCATGCGACCCACGGTCACATAACGCCTACTAAGTAAAAACTTCCCAAAAACGTTATTTATCCACGACTGCAAGCATCTTATCCGCACTAATTTGGTACTGGAGGGATAATATTTTCGACGTGGCAACACTGCGTTTATTAACTTCAGTGCACACCGTCTCTTCCGTCACTGCAAAGCATATTTCTACTCTGTCAACATGCGCACTATTGTTTGTGTTAATATCGAATGATGCTGAGGTATGTTAATGAGGGACCCACCAAAGGGATTATTTGAAAGCTTCGCCACTCTTGCTCTACAGTTACACATTGTCATTACCCGGCACGTAATGAATGAGTGTTTCTTATGCTCATGATATATGCTTTAAGCCCTGTGTGAAATCAATCAAAAATCAATCGTATAGTTATTTAAAAACAGGCGAGAGCCCATTGAGAACTAAGTTAGTATATCTTAAGGGAGACGTATATTACATATAACAAACACCGGAGTAAAAACATTAAGCAAAACAGAAAACCTCAAGTCAATAAGTGATTATCTACAGAGTATGCAAATCTTACCTTTAAAATATCGTAACAAACTTAACTGTGTGTACTGTACATAATATTAAAACAATATTCAATATTGAATAAAATCATGACAATTCATAGAATCGTATGGGGTGGGGAGGAGTGAATGCTAAAATGTCTTATCACTATGAACATCGTCAGAATCTAAAAGTTTTGAGAGATTCATTTGAGCATATTGGCCTTAACGAGTATCCAAAGTCCACCGATGGAGCCAAGATCTGTAATGCATTTGTTGCAAAGCACAAATTTAGTAACCGAACAACTCTAAATGTGGCCCTGATATCAGCATTCAGGGGCCAACAGCTCTGGAGACAATGTTACTCCGTCTGATGCAAGTTGTCACACCACACACTTGTTCTATCATAACGTTGATGCAAAGCATTGTTCCAGGGCTGGGACGTCATATGAACATGGTCACATGGACCCAAGTGGACAGACACCCTAACTTGCTTTTACCGGCAGAAGGGAAGTTGCTGTATGCATAACATTAATAATCTGCAAACATGTGGTTAAGGGCAAGGCCAGCTAGATCATGCCTAAAATACACAATGATGATGCATCAGCAAAGCATGAATCCCCCCCACCTCCTTAAAAACCCTTAAGTCTCAGTTGAGTTCTTCCTGGGTAAACGAAGTCGTTATGTTATTTTTGTTCTGAAATCAGTCTATTTAATAATATTGGATGAAGTTTTAGTATTTGCTTAAGAATCTGGGCAAAATACAGAGAACCCCACAGAGAAGTCCAAACCAAGGCGCTAATAAAACAAAACTTACAAGAAGCACGTAGCTTTTCAATCACAAATCACAAGCCGTCAATCACAGGATTTAGAAGGTGCAGATCAGATGTTAACAAAGGCGGGAGTGCCAGGATTTTGGCGAACTTTCTAATCAAGACAAATTGTCATAGAAGACTCAGATTCAAATCGTTAAGATTACACAGGACAAAAACAATGTACCCCAAAGGTCACCACTGAAGTGTGACAACCGAATCAATTGACAAAAGCTCTGTTTTTCATAAACACAGGAGGGGTGTGGTTTGGACCAAACAGAAAACCCCCCCATGATCGGGATGTCCAGGTCGATTAAGATTTTAGAAGGAGAAAAAAATAATGATAAAACATACAAATCATTCACCACAGTGAGCGATAATTACAATACTGTCCAAACATATTACAATCGTCTCATAATAATACTGTAATGTTAACAGTGCATTAACAATGCATTTGGCGTCGCCCATGTTTACTGGCAGTCCAACGGAAAGTGGTCGAAATTCCACGTTATTATGGCAGAAGCAATCTACGCATATAACCAATGTTGATTTAGCGGTGCCGCCTAACCGGGCGGTGCTCCTTTGATCAACACATACGTAATGATCACGATGGAACTAAGTTAGAAGTGATTACGATGGTCATAGGTCCGCGATTACACTGATGATATTATGCTAATGACAGAGCTAAGGCAGCATTGACAGTGATGAAGATGGCGCAGTGTCATCATTGATGACGGCTAGGTTAGCACAATAGTATGATACCGATTATAGTGATTATGGGGACTGATTGTTACGTGGCTGACCCAATCTTGATGAAGAGGAGTTAAATTGGATGTGTGACGATTACCAATCAGTGGTGATGATCATGTTGTTGTTGCTGTTACTACAGCAGGTGATCGAGCAAAAGAGACAACTAAAGCAGACCTAAAGTCAGCACGGTTGCAGTCTAAAATGAACTATAAAAATACTAACATCGCGAAGACTACAACTACTCAGACGCTACTAAAACCACTAACATCAGTAATAAAAACACAAGACCATAACTACTAACACAACACCATTGCACGAAGACACCAACATTAACATACTATCAACTGTAAACACACTAACGTCGCTAAACCGTGACGAACGATAAAAAGCACTTACATCGACACAGAAACGCCAACACCACCAGCAAAAAACATCAACACATTAACACTAACTAAATACTACGTGTAATATTATCACAGGAACACATTATGTTCTGATACGGCATTGGCAGTGGTGCATACACAAATAATTCAACACGTTCGTCTATAAAACTGTGACCTTAAAAGTAACCGACGTTTCAGGCAATAGCTCTTCTTTAAGAGAACAAAGAGAGGCCAGAGCAATATAATAGTTGGAGACTGATAAGAATTACTTTAAAATGCTGTCCTGATTAACCGTTTTAAATTGGCATATGAATAGTTACCTATTAATAGCTATTTAGTAAAAGGGGAACTCCTTTAAGAATTAAAAAATGAATTACAACGGAAACTGATTTGTATTAAAATCATACACTTGCTGGAACACTGCATTATAGAAAAGTGTAGTACTCTACCACTAACTCATAGCAACATTGATCAACACCACCACTATTAACACACTACGAGCAACACCAATATACAGTACTAACAACCCCCCGGTGTAGCCTGCAACACTGTTAGCGCGCACCTATGAAGGCCGGCACGGCACACGAGGGGGTGGGTGGCCAGCACCAAACCCGGCCGCCTTTGTCTCCCCAGCGGCGATGTTTACTACACACCGCACCAGGTACTCATTTGAAGCGGAGTAGACCTAGGGGGATGCCCAAGACCGCTTAAGATAATCGTCACTGATCTTCACCGTGAACCGGGATCGAACTCGGGTCGCCGGGTTCGATGCGCAGCGCGATAACCGGTACACGGCCGCTCCCCCTTACCAACAACAACACCGCTACTACCACCACCACTGACTACCATAAACTATCACCACCAACTACTACTACTACCAACAACTACCACCACCGCTAACAGCAAGTCCCCTGTGGCTTGTTTACACTTTTTTTTATAATTCGTGGTCAGACGACACCTCGGGCCTACTGCCGCAGGCTTCCCCCAGGCGACGAGTCCAGCCGCAGCGGAAGCGGTGAAGTCAGAACGCGTCTTCCCCAAACCGAGCGACCAAACAAGTACCACAACCACAACATCCAAAGGGGAGGGTAAACTGACCGTACGACTCAGACATCGCTGCTGACACAGTGCTGCCCCGCTCGTCTCTTGCCTTACGCCTCTTGCTGCTGCTCCTCCTCCTAACTCGGCGCTGATGGCGGACGCTCGGGTCACGTGATCGGTGGTAACAGTTGGGGGGGGGGGGCGGGGGGGTTAGTGACGTAGGAGATAAAGGTGCAGCCCTGAAATTGCCACCTGCTCACGCCAATAGCTGTAGGTGGTGACTACCACCTCTTCCAAGACGTCTGGCCGGCATGGAAGAGTAGACCAAATACCCTCTGGATTTGGGGGGGGGGGAGGTAGTGACGTAGGAGATAAAGGTGCAGCCCTGAAATTTCCACCTGCTCACTCCAATAGCTGTAGGTGGTGAGTAACTCCCAACCTCGTAACCAGAAGGCTGAGTTTCGTTTTAAAGATTTCGTGACTGCAGGGATTAATATTCTTGGTTCTTTCGGTAAAGTCACGTAGGAGGGAAATAATAAAATAATAAAATAATAAAACAATAAAATTCTCACGACGTTTCGATTGCAACACAAGCAATCATCATCAAAATAACCAAGAAACATAAGGCTTGAGGTTGACGCACCGAGCCCAACCTACAACGCGTTGCTCACTACTGGAGTGGCAGCCAGAGGAGGTGGCGAGCCCGAGAGATGGAGCGATGAGATCGGTTCGCTTGCAGGTGCCGGGTGGATTTTATTTTAGTTCAGTTTATTTCAGTTTATTTTGGTATAGCTCCGTGAGCCATTCGGCTCTTGAATCGTGTGCAACCACAACAAACAAAAAAAACAAAAACACGAACAAGAAAAACAACTTAAAGTGACTATGTGTAACTGTGCAAACAGAAAATCCATGGGGAAAAAAACCCAGCAAAAATATTCCTGAAAAAAGCACCGTACACCACCAACGCTGAGTGCAAAAAAATCCCATTGGGATGCAAAGTCAAACAACAACAGCGCGGGACCGTGAGGTGATGGAGATGACTTGGGGAGGACTTCATTCAACAGTGCATTGATCATGGCTGTTTTTGCTGCTGCTGCTTCGACGGCCCAGGCACCGCCTCACCATTGTTTGTACCCACTGCTGCTTGCTTCGTGTCCATCAATTGGGCTACCCATAATAAAGAGTTGGGTTATTTTTTTTGGGGGGGGGGGTTGTGTTTTATCGCGTTCACGTAAATGTGTCGTTATATTTACGCCCCCCCCCCCAAAAAAACACCTTTATCATAGACCAGCATTTCGCCCGTCCAAGGAGACGTGCGTGCGTATTGCAGTAAATCTGAAACTTGTAAGCGCAAAGCAGACCGGGACGTGATATATTCATTGCATCAATGCGTGTGCAATTTGTAAGGGCGCGGTGACGCAGACCTATTTCATTTTAAGGTTACAATCCCTCGTTCATCACGACGTCCTTTTTACTTCGATGTCTCAACAACAGCGTCACGGAGATCACGTGATGACGTGAGGGTTCGGCCTTTGTAGTGAGGGTTGTGAGTTGACGCTGACGTAGGAGGGGGGAGGAGGCGCCCCGCCCACCATGTGGAGTGACGTCACCCGATAATTATTATGAATGAGGAGAGGGGGAGTGTCCATTTGGAGGACGTCACCTGCTCATGAATATTAATGAGGGGGCTGGTCGACGTGGATTGACGTCACGCGCGGGACACACAGACATTCTTGGCTCATTATAGTAGGACATATTGGTGTTTGCGGACGCGCCTGCGTGTGTTAGAGGCTGCCAACTGAGACGCCCAGTCGGGAAGGGGCGACCGGGTCGGGATCCCACAAACCCGCCCCGCTCTCGCTAAGGCACTGGGTCACGAACACGCCGTGTCCATCACAGTATAGACATTGCTACATTTTGACTTAAAAGACCGCTTGTGTAGCGATCGAAACGTCGTGGGGGGGGGGGGGGGTTCTTCTATCTACGTGACTTTACCGAAAGAACCAAGAATATAATAGTATAGAGATACTTTTCAAACAAGGCACACGAATCTAGTGTTCCGCATTGGCATGCGGCCCCCTGACAATACACAACGACACCTGAGAACATCAACAGACCTCCCCCCACATGGTGTCAAATGTGCGGCTGCCCTCACACTGATGTCTTATCGGCGAAAGTAGCCCCCCTCCCCTACCCCCCTCTGAAAATTAGTGAATTAACACTGCTCTAATCTATAAACAGCACACGAGAGGGCTGCAGGAGAGAGAGAGAGAGTTCGTGTGGTTTTGCTATCCATGCGTTGAAGAAGCGCCACACGACAGATAGAGAGAGAGGGCGCGCGTGCTGTCTATAACTCGTTGGTTCACATGCGGCACTAATATTCGGCTGCGATGCGGGACTTTCCTTGGGTCACTTGTCTTCTTTTTACATAGACGTGACGAAAGGCAGACAGGCGAGCACACACTCATACACACATCACACACACACACCCCGACACGAGCGTTGTAACCAGAAGGTCAGGTTTATTTGCAGAACCCTACACCGCGATTTGTCGCAGCTCCGCGCTGGACAACTTGAAACATTTCGGGTCCTCTGTTATAACAGTTACCGGCGGCCCTTGGTGGTGCGTCACGGCCACATTCAGCAATTAAACACGCTCTTGGACTCAGCGTGGAAAACTCATATACCCGACCACACAACGCTAGGGTCAAGCATAGGTACCTCGTCGCATATAGCGTGGACTGCTGTTTTTACTTTTTTTTACATAGCACCTGCAGCTCAACAGCATTGAGTCTGCAGATGTCACGCGCGTGCTTAGTGGGTGTGTGGCATAGCACAGCGCAGCGCATGTAGAAGTCGTTGTTGACGATGTCCCCAAAAAGTAATGACACTGATCGTGATGATTAATAATTAATTTATTGCCATCAACGTCGTCGTCGTTATCAGTTCACCTGAAGTTTTCGCTTGATTCGTTTTTTTTCCTCCACGCGTGGATACGTTACGATGTTGTCTAGAGATTGATGGGGTTTTTTAAAAAATCTCTGTTGCTGTTTTATTTCATGCTTTCTATGTCGTTTTTAACGATGTTGTTTTGACACCGCAACCTTAACTGCAATGGGGAGGAGCAGGCGTGGGGCCCTGTAGGTGACGATGCCGATGATGCTGATGAGTCTGACACGTGGCTCTCATCGGCAACGAATACCCATAGCTCAGATATCAGATATCTCTGTGTGCCGGTGTGTGTGTGTGTGTGTACATCATGTAAAATACCTCTCTCCAGGTAAAGAGGTGTATTTGTGTGTGTGTGTATACATCTATGAAGGCGTCTGTATTCAGATTTCTACGTATACACCAGATATACTATGTATGCATATGGGAAGATGTCTTTCCTAGATCTCTTTGTGCTATAGTACATTATAATTTAGGGAAAGGTGTCTCTCCCTGGTATCACATAATTGAAACACTACACGCACACATATGTATGCCGAGAGGTATGTATTACAAAGGTCCCTATGCATATATTATATATGGGCAGATGTACATAAGTACACCACCATTCTGTATATCACACACATAATATATGTGTGTGTAGTGTATAACGTATGACACACACACATAAATGCACGTGGAGAAGCAATGAATGAGTGAATGCATGCATGCATGCACGCACATACAGCGGCGAGAGCGCGCACACACACACACACGGATGAGAGGAACGCACACGGCTAGCCGCCTTGCAGCCCCCAAGGAGCAAAGGTCTGGGTTCGATTCCTTTAGAAGCACTTGCGATGGACGATGGAGGGGCCCGCCTCGTCGTACTCCTGCTTGGTGATCCACATCTGCTGGAAGGTGGACAGCGACGCCAGGATGGAGCCTCCGATCCAGACGGAGTACTTGCGCTCGGGAGGAGCGATGATCTGAGGTTTCGGGGGAGAAGGCGCACGATGGGAGAGAGAGAGGTGAGTCACGATCAGGTCGGGGCGGGGGGTAGACGGTGTGGGGGAGTACACGGGGAGAAGGTGGACGGGAGCAACGGAGGGACACGGGGAGAAGAGAGATATGGCACGCAGAATGGGGGGGAGAGGAGACACGGGACATGGGGACACGAGAACAAGGCGGGACGCGGTGCTCGAGGAGGGAAGAGGTCAAGAAATGCCGGCACATGGAGACAGAGAGCGATGTGTGGATACAGAGTGATGCGAGGAAATGCCAATTAACTTTAATTACAATGGCACTCTACAGCTCTTGTATTAATCAACTGCTGGATGAAGCCACCGAGGGCGACTGAGTGGGAGTACGAAATGTCGTAGGAGCGTCGCCAGTGGTTAATGTCAGCCGGAAGAGTCACCGAGACGCTGTTACGCAAATTGTTATCACGCCACATCCATATTGCCCCGGGTCGTTGATGAGTGAGACTCATCCTGATCTCTAGAGCTCTCACCTGGTTAAACAAAACTTCAAACTATTCTATTACAAACTGTATTCATTTTGTATTAAATCTTCAGTTCGTGTCCTGCCGACGGTGTTCCTGCGACGCTGCTCACCTTGATCTTCATGGTGCTGGGCGCCAGGGCGGTGATCTCCTTCTGCATGCGGTCAGCGATACCCGGGTACATGGTGGTGCCACCGGACAGCACGTTGTTGGCGTACAGGTCCTTGCGGATGTCGATGTCGCACTTCATGATGGAGTTGTAGGTGGTCTCATGGATACCGGCGGACTCCATGCCTGTGTGTGCGTGCGATTGCGTTGTGTGTGTGCGCGAGCATACGATCAACAATCACGACTACCAATAACCCAGCAAAACCGCCACCTACCTACACGATCACCACTGTGTGTGTGTGTGTTGGCTGTGGGGGGGGCGATAGTCTAGCGGTTAACTCGCTGCGTTACGAACCCGGCGAACTGAGTTCGATTCCGGCTCATGGCAAACAACAGCAGAGAATAATTATCTGAACCATTCCAGGGCCACCCCTAGGTCGAATCAGCCTCAGGTGAGTACCTGGTACGATCTGTAAATGTTGCTACTAGGGAGACAAAGGCGGCCGGGCGTGATGTTGACCACCCATCGTTTCGTGTCGGCTTTCATAGGTGCTCGCTAACAGCACTTGCCCTAAGAGCCTGTTCAGGCTATACGGGGTTTTTTGTATACGTCTGTGTGGGGTGAGCAGTGGCACAGTGGATAGCGCACTGCAATACGAAACGGGCCGCCT